ATCTATGATACTTTTTGGCAATCTCATGTGCAACTAAGCAGTTTGGAGGAATTGGTCCAAGGCAGATGTGTCCAATGCTTGGAATTCTTTAATAGCAGCAGCCACAGACAGTGCTAGTCTAACAGCATCTTCGTTACTTGGTGCCTACAGGGATTGGTTGTTGGTCAGGAGCTAAATCACAGAGTATAATGTAAGTTTATGCATTAACTGATGGAAAAAATTGTACCTCAATGTTCAGGGGAAGAACAGGATCATGAAGAGAAAGTCTAAGAAGGAACCACCCGCCAAAGCCAGAAACTCGAACCTGTTTTCGCAAGATGTTAAAAGAAAACACCCAGGAAATTTGGTTTGTAACTGTGAGTCGATAATTCCACTCCAAATTCATTGCAACTTATTCACAAGTGAATGCTTTTGAACTAAGTCTATGTCAAACTTACCCCTTCATAATTAACAGGGGCTTTTTTAAGTGTTCGATCCAATTTTACATAGTTCTCCAAGTGTTGCAGAACTGCCTCTCCGTAGTCCCGGAAAGATCTGTAAGTTGCATCAGTTATTAAAGGGAATAGGTCACACATACAAAACGAAAAAAGAAGCATGAAGACACCTTACCCTCCTTTAAGATCAGGATGGTTTTGATTGATTTTTAATCTCAGCTCCAGAGCAACAGGTGGTTCCTGCAAACCCTCCACCAGATCAGTTAAAACTTTGCTGCCACCACCTATTCCAGCAGCCCTTGCTGAAGCAAGTTTGTTTAGGAGTTTGACCTGAAGTGGTGCAGCATGAAGCATACAAAATCTAAGTTTTGGCAGTTCATGAGATGAATAATTTGTTCATATTTTTGTTAATATTCTGGATGATCAATCAATTAACAATATAGCATAACCTGAAGAATCATAATCAGAAGGTTAAACTAGAAGCCTACCATCAGGTATGCTCCATCATCGAGCCAGTGATTCTCCTTTAGAGCTCCATGACCGCTGGTTTCAATAGCAAGATGTGATTCCTCTCCAGTAGAATTCTGTCAGCAGTAAGCTTATTTTAATTACAAAATTTGCAAGTAACAAAAATAGCATAAAAGATTTTCATCCAATGATGCCATGGCAAGATAATTACCAGAGAGCAAGGCTACTTTCGATGCTAATGTTAATTCTTTGGAATAAGTATAGCAATACAATACAAATGAAAAAAATTTGTAGGAAAATTATGATTTCACATTAACTCCAGTTAAATTGATTTGTGAATCTTACCTTAACAATTGGGAATAATGTTTCTTTTATTGTTCATAAAAATTTGTACATATAGGGCCCTGTTATTCAATAAGATTTATATTTCATTCTCCACAAGAATTATCATTTCCTGTTGGTTTCAAAATGTACTTCCATTACATTAATGCAAGAAAGTGTTTATAAATAGAAGATTTCATTCCTTTCATCCTCCCTAATGTAATCTTTTCTAAAATTTGTCTAGAAAGATAGGGAAGAAAAAAAAATAAAAATCAGCTTACCAAACGAATAGCTTCATCAATAACATTCTTATAGCCTCTTTTGAAACGATGGTGCTTTCCCCCTAAAGAGACTTGCAAGTCAATAACACATTAATTGAAAAAAAAAATCAAAATACAGAGTCAGTAATTGGCCTACCAAGTTTCTGTTCTATAAATGTAGTTAAACCATCTGAAGTCACACTATCTGTAACGATAGTTGTACCTGGATGCTAGAGGAAAGCACATGAAAATATTAAAGGGAGAAGCAGATTAGGAATAAACTTGAATAGAACAAATTAACTTTGGAAAAGAACAGTAAAATATGCATTTGCAGAAAATTCTTACTTCCTCGAGAACAATTGCTGACATTAATGCAATCAAACGATTCCGGTTAAACTCACGACCAGTGGAATCCACAGCAGCAGACCTTTAAGAAAAATGCTTAAGACAATCACATCACTTAATTTTGTTAGAGGAACATTTGGGTAGTTATAGCTACTACCTATCAACATCTGTGTCAAAGATGATGCCTAAGTCAGCCTTGTTATTAAGGACAGCTTGGGTGATAGCTTTCATTGCTGCTTTATCCTCTGGATTTGGAATATGGTTCGGAAAAAGACCTGATCCCGAAATAGATCCTCATTTAAAGATGTAAATAGCAAAAATCAACCAAAAATTTTGAAACAAAATTTACCATCTGGCTCTAAGAACTGACTACCAGAAGTAATAGCTCCGAGAGGCTCAAGCACCTTAGCCTGGTGAAATATCAACATGAAATCCATCAGTCAAAAGGGGGAATAAACCCACTGCAATAATCTTGAAATTCTAAATATAAGATTTAAGAAACTGTGTCAAGCTAATTAAACATAATTACAGGAAATCACTGATCAAGCAAGTCTGCAAGTGAACAAAATTACACGAAAGCCTTCTGCAAAAATCTTGAAAGCCTGAATATGTAGTTTAAAAAAATAGTGTTTATGCTCTTTAAGCTCAGTGAACAAAAAAGCAATCCTTATACTTCAAAAATGTTATAACTTCGAAGATGAATCTATGAGTTCTCAATAGGTTCCCTAGCTCAACATCTAAAAGACATGCTGCAACAAATATATTTTTATATTTCGTATTTTTTCAGCAGGAAAAATGGAACAATAAGATGTTTGAATTCAATTTCCATAAAAATAAAGCTTACTGCAAAAAATCCTCCAGCTCCATTTCCTGCATCAACAATGATATGGAATCCTTCCAGTGGTTTCTCTGAGAGTTTACAGCAAACAATGATTAGTAAAGTTCTTCGCAACCTGGAAGGACAGATGCTACCTGCAGGTATAGCTTGCATCTAAACATTTCAGAGAGATATACCTATATTTCCTGCAGATTTCCGTACTGCGTTCACAAGGCCAGAAGTATAGACAGTCATGTAATCGACTTTTTTAACTGAAAATGAATCATTTCTTCCTGAATTCTTTAAACTATCAACTGAGAAATTTTTGTATATATCTGCAGCGCGCTCCAAGATATTCTTAATGTCAGCTTTTCCGAGCCCTCCAGAGCTAGTGAAGAACTTGAAGCCATTCCTGTTATAAGGAAGATGACTAGCTGCTTAAAAGACAAGAAAGAAAGCTTGTGACCAAATTGCTCAGAAACAAAATTATAGAACATGATTAGATCCAAATCTAAGCTTGGTTTGTGTTCATTGAAGGTTATAGCAGAAATAGTTAACCACCTGTTATCATAATAGCCCCATCAACTGGACATAGGAATGCATCATCTTCAGTTAATGTGCTATTAAACATTGCTGGAGTGGATGCAATACTGCAATAAAGCATGAAATATGTGATTGACCAAGTTGACTAGTGTATAAATATTTGAGAAAAGAAACAAGATACTGGATGATCACATATATTTAGACATGCATTCTTTTTGTTGTTTGAAATAATATTTACACGTGCATTCTAGGAATAATATGGATAGCCTGGAAATAAATAGTAAAAAGAGAATAATACGGATACTCTGGACATAAATAGTCAAAAAGGGAATAGTAAACTGCATCATGTCTGAATCACTTTGGTCATATTGCTACTTCAGTCTAAGATCCAGGCTGAGCCAGTGGTACAAGCACTGGATCAGCCAAGTATAGCATCATTACTCATATTAGTTACAACATGAAAACAAATATATGCATATACTACCAAAACAAATGCACACTTCAGGCAGACCTATGTTTGTAACACAAGCACATATACTCCAAAAAAAGATACACACTTCAGCCAGACCTATGATTGCAGGCCAGACTTCCATGGGAAAGGCCTAAACAGTATGGGAAAATATAATAAACTCAAAAATCAACCCGAAGAAAGGAAATACCATAACATACCCATACTGAACAACATCCAAGCCAGCACTAGCAATGCCTCTAGAAACCGCGTCCTGTGAGTTTGTTGATGTATGATAACAAAAAATAATAGAAAGTCAGAAATGTCAAAAGCTTGGAGAATGGTGCAATAAAGAGACTTGAGTTTCATATGTGCTTATTACAGTTCAACCAATTCCATTGTGTCGATATTTCTCATCCAATCAATTTCATAAACACCAAGTCTTTATAACCTTTATCTAACAAAGGAACTGGATCACAAACCCTATGTCGTCTCATCAGTTAGCGAGAATGTGGCTGTTGATGATATTAACCACCAAGTTCATCCATCACGGCACAAGTAATGACTGATTCTTAAGAACTTAAAGATCCTTAGGGATCAAAAAGAATATATATATCATAGTAATTACTTTTCCAACTACATAAAAGAGTACAGAGACTCAAACTTGATTACAATAAATGGAAAATTACCTGCAATGCTTGTGCAGATATACGAGAATCATGACCAATGGACACTTTCAATTGTCGAGATCCATCAGCCTTTTTCTTTTCCATCAACCATTGTGCAAAGGCTGCAGCTATTGCTTCAGTAACTGGTTCCGTGAGGCTAACTGGTTCTCCCTCAACGCCAGCAACAGCCACACCTCGAATATCACTGCATGTTCATCAGCAATATAATAGAAAGAAATCAATTAACATAGCTCGTGAACAAAACATATATGCATGTTAGCATTTTCACGTAAAGGCCTGACATGGCTGGTTCCACTGCCCAAGCCTAAACTTGGCTGGAACCACATGATCTCTTTGATAGCATATACCAGTCTTATTCTCAATTTCTTCACCATAGAAACTTTTTAGTTATATTTTCTTCAGCATTGATGCTCTTTAATAAAATAGTGAATACTTCTCGCACCAAAATAAGAGCCAAGTCTGATTGGTAATGGTAGTGGACATTTTTATAAGTGCCATGAAGTAGGTTTATATGTCAGAACACTGAACCTCTTTATTCTTAATCCAAATCCTAGGATGAGTTGAGACTTTTGTTAGTCCACATTCAGATCTGAATAGATACTGCTGTTGCAAGCAGTCCAATTTTGGTATACATAATTACCAGTTATTTCTTGATACAGCTAACTGTATCTGCCGGTGAACTGTATGTAGATAGTTAGGGGTCAAGGAACCTCAAATTGGGGAGATTAATGAGTATGAATTGCTCCTCCAAACCCAGTCCAAGTGAGCTCCTCAAGGCTTATTCCTTTGGCTACTTGATGGGTAATTTGGAAGAAAAGAAATAGGAGAGCTTTTTGAGGACCCTTAGGATTTTGGAGAACCAACCATGATCATCCACCCCATCCCTCGCCTCTATTATCCTCCTCCACAAAATCCCTTGCTCCATCATGAATCTCCAAAGCCACTTTCCTTGAAAGGCTCTATTAAAAATTACCAAAAATCTCAAGCCCAAGCCACCCCTCCGTAATGATTGTTTCACCATGTTCAAGGCCACCAAGTGATCTTAGACTCATCGTGAACCTACTTATCTCCGATCTTAGCTTCAAACAGTGTCCTAGAAGGGTAGTGATGGATGATCATTGTTCTGGAATTGTGGGAATTTGGTTCATAATTTAGGGGGAAAGACGCAATAGGCAATTATGTTACGGGTAATAGAGGAGATTTAGGATTTGGTCATAAGAGAAGATAATATGGTTTCAATTGATTTTTGAGCTTGTTTTGGAGAGACACTAGATCTTCTTGGTGTTTACCTAAACGATAGGCTCAAGATACTATTTTTGGTTCCCACATCCCAACAATTGATTTCATGTTCATTCTTTAGACCAGTGATAAAGATACTTGTTAATCATTAGGTAATCAAACACACTTATCTCAACATTGAATCCATTCACGAACAATGTATTATCATCTCAAGCAATGCAATCAAAGGAACTCATATCTCCAAGCACACAAGCATGCTATCAAGCACTCTTCCCAATGAGGTTCCTCATCTGTAATGTCATGGCGCATACACATTTCAAGCATTGGAGAGCCACATTGTCCTACTGGATCGAAGGATGGAAGTAAGTTTAACTGTCACTTTAGAAGGAGTTCCATCGTTTGAAAAAAAAAAATGTCCAAAATGATAAAGCCAATCTTGTGTATCCTCTCCAATGAATCTAGGGAATTCCACTCTTATAAATCTGGTAGGTATATGGTATGGTTCTTTGAGGAAGTGAGTAGTGTTAAGTATGATGAATTAAGGTTTATAATAGGAGAGGAATTTAGTGCTGCTGACCGGTGGGTGGCTTTTGTTGGGATTAGGTGTTTCAGTGGAGGAAAATTTTGGGGATGAAGAGAAGGGTTAAGAATATTGGATTGTAAGAGAATTTCCATGGATGAAGTTGATTCACTGGGAAAGCAATTTGATTACGATTCATGAATTCTTTAAACACCACATACATATTATCTTCTCTCTTGTAGCTTACTTGATTAATTTATTCCTACTGCTTAATGTGGTCAAGTAAACCTTTGAGCATCATTTTAATATTCTTGATTGAATAATCCATATTTCAATAATTTGGGAATGAGTGCCTTCTAAAACTGACATGAATCTAAAATAGATAGCTCAAGATTGACCAATTTGATACAACTTAATAAAGCTAACCGTGTGTGCTATTACATTATCAATCAACTAAGGTATCTCTACCCTCGTAAGTTGATTACAATGGGCTACTTTAATAACTCTCCAACTGATTTCACCTAATTTCTAACTGATTTAACAACTTTAACAACTTCTAACAATTCCAACTGCTTTATAGGAAATCTATATTTCCCTTGTATCATTTCCGCAACAACTACAATTTTTGACACGTCGTCAAGCACTAAGAAAATTATAATACATACAGCCAGAAATTAGGACTACTAGTTCTCATCAATGATTGAGACTCCTACAAAGTCCAAAAATTTTTTAAATTAAAAAAAGAAAGAGCGGTGAGATGACCAAGTATCAAACATCAAAGCAGGAAATTTGCGATGCGCTATGGAAACAAAGAAGAAGTTTGGATACTTAGCTGTATATGCTAACAGCAATGATCCCAAAACTACATGGGAAATGGGAAATTTCTAAACGCAAATCAGGCTATCTTACGATAGATGCTTCACCTGCCATTTTGAAGTTTAAGAAAATCAACTTTGTCAAGAGGTGGCACTGCGACAGTAGATGGAGCAGCTACAATGGAAAAATGAAAATGAGATTTATGTTTGAAAACAAAGAGAATTACAATGAACTATCACCACAATATGGAATTACAAATATCATCCTGCAACAGGAGATGCATGCACCACTGCACAAATATATGTAACTTTAGATGCACCGTGACAATGAAAGAAATCACATCATTTTAGGGTTGACGAAAACAGAATTGTTTCACTTGATATCAACCTGCATAATGAGAGTCTAGAACAGACCGTTGCAGTAAACAGTTCCTCGGTTAATAAAATCACTCTGGTATTTTGACAAGGTGCGCATTTGCATGGAAGAGATGCCAGTCCATGCCAACTTCCCTCCATGAAAGGGAAGCAAAGTGCACATACAAGGGGCACAAATATCCCTTTGGTATTGGGTCGCGAACTGCCTATTCTTTTGGTAGCACTGTGCTACAAAAATATTTTGTAAAGTGTTCCCTGACATTGCTGCATAAGAATTTACAATTCTATTAGATTGTTTTATCTGTACTTTTTTAAGTGAAGTAAAATTTGTAAGCACTTCAACTAATACAGTTTTGAATTACTTTTGTCTTACTCATAATCTTCCGCAAGATATTAAGTTTTAATTCAATAAATAAAACCAAAAAAGTTTCTTAGCTAAAATAGCCACCTTAATAATATGGTTTGAAGACAATAATAGCTGCAGATATTGGCTGGATGAATCACAGGGCATAAGCTGATATGCTCAGCCTTTAAATTCAATGATGCATTAAGTATTTGATTCTAAACTCCTACGCTGAAGACCATGAATGACATTTTTGAATGACCAAAACCAAAGTCAAAATTATTTCCGAGTTCAAAGACGACGTTTCTCTCAAACTTTACTAACAATAAAGTGGACCGGAAATACTCAGTAATTCCAATATGCTCATACTCTGCATCTTGAACCTAACAAACCAGTCACTGACTCTAATATGATTACTCTCTTCTGATTGATAACAACAACAAAATCCATCGACCCATTCTTTCCAATTGTTATCCGAATACAACCCATCAAATATTAGCAGTCCTCGATACACCAAATAAAACCTATCAATAAATCCATTTCTTTACCTTTTGTAACCATTTTCATAAAGCTAACCAAACAAAGCCTACTTCCCCGATTTCTGGTATCTATGAATCTATCTATACCAATACAAACACATATACAGGAGGATTACACAAAGAGATGGGTGGCTATGCCTAAAATCATGCTAAATCCTTACCCATCTCAGACTCAGGCATTTATTCATCACCCAATCAACAAGTAACCTTAATTTAGTTTCCAACATGCACTTATTATAATTTACACACCATTAAATTAGAGCTTCAATAAAACCCAAAATCAGAAAGAAAAGACGATAAAGTGGACTAAAAATTGATGAAGCTGGAAATGAAAACGATGAATTCAAGAACTTTACCCGCCATTTGATAGTAGCAAATAAATTTCACCAGGGTTTTGATATAATCGATGGGAAGTTGATGGAGAAGCTGATAATTTTATAATGCAGGCGTCCGATAGTAGATGCTCATAATCTCACGAGCGTTCTAATCGAGTGCGGGCATGCACACTGTAACTACCTGTAAAATCACATCATGTTGTTTAATTTTTTTTTTTACAGATATGAAGTTGTAAATTTATAAATTTAATTAAAACTATATGATAATAAATTATTAAAAAATTTATATTAATAATTTTAATTTATAATAAGATTAAAGACAATGTTGAATTTTTTATTTTTAATAATTATATTGAGTTTGCACGTTCTGCGATACGAATATGATTCGGTCAATAAAAATATAATTATATTAAAATTTTAAAATATATTTATTAATTATATTTGTTAAATAAATAAATATATATATATATTTATAATAATAATACAATTTAAAAAATATATATTATTGTGGACGAGTGTTGGAAGGTGTCCTGTGGGGGAAGAAAACGACAGCGTTTTTGTGGATAAATATTCCTTGTCGAAGACGGAATATGAAAAAAGATCAAACCGTTTAAATAAACGAAACGGAAGAGAGAATTCAACCCCGCAGTAATCTCCTCCTCTCAGCAGAAGAAAGTCGTCTCTCCGCTTCAGCTTCCAGGTTTAAGGTTTCTATTCAAGATGATCGAAGTTGTGTTAAACGATCGGTTGGGGAAGAAGGTCCGGGTGAAGTGCAACGAAGATGACACCATCGGTGATCTGAAGAAGCTCGTTGCGGCTCAGACGGGTACTCGGGCCGAGAAGATCCGGATTCAGAAATGGTACACAATCTACAAGGACCACATCACTCTCAAGGACTACGAGATACACGATGGCATGGGCCTCGAGCTCTACTACAGCTGATTTCGTAAGCTTCCTTGGTCCGTTCAAGTTCTCTGTTAGGTTTTGAGCTTTCTTTCCGTTTTCTAACATGTTTTATCTGTATGCTTTTCTACTTCCAGATGGGTTGCGTCGATGTATGTCAACGTATAATCTTGTCTAGTTAGGGTTTTAATTACGCATTGTTTGTTAGCCATGAATTTGGAGGATGTGAATTGTCTTGATAGTCTACCACTGTTTTTTTACGAAGTAAGCAATGGGGTTATGGGATTTGGATTGTGATTTTCTTTTATTTGCACTATTAAGCTTCCAGGAATGTCAATTTAGCAAGTTTTTGGTGTAGGAAGAATTGGAAAGAAGTTCTCGATAAGGTTTTGAATTTTGATAATCTATTTATTATTCCTCTAGATAATGTAACTAGGAATCTGTGATGTAAATTGGTGCGATGGATTTCTAATTCGGACTCAATTAGTGGGCATTAGAAATCCATCTTTCTAGAAGTTCATGGAATTGATTCAAACACAAAATTATATATCTATTATGAATACTATAATAATTAAAGATTAAACAAAACTGCAGTAATTAAGTAAATAAATATATAAAAAATGAACAAAATTGGCAATGAGATGAGAGTATTATAAAAGTAGGGAGGATTTTGTTCGGTTTAACAACGGTAACAAGAATTTGCTGCTAGCCGTAGCTAAATATAAGTTTGATTTGTAGATCACAGCATGCTTCTTTTTCTAAAACCTTGGAATATAAACAAAGCAAACTATGGAGTGAAAAATGTGTTTCGTTTCTTCCTTATAGAAGGATTTGCATGGTGGGTTCTTTACAATTCTGTGCATGACATTGGCTATATTCTTAATTCTTCTTTCTTGGTTCTCATTCAAAAGATGGAGGTAGCAACAAATATTAAGGATTTTAAACATAACAGTTTGGTTGGGAGCTTATATAAAGTCATTGCGAAGGTATTGGCTAGAAGGATGGCTAAGATGATAGATAAAGTGGTTGGTGAATATCAACATGCTTTTATGGAAGGAAGACAAATACATAATGCGGCTCTTGTGACTAATGAGGTTGTGGATAAGCTATATTTTTGGAATAGAGAGGATGTCCATGTGCAAGTTGAATATGGAGAAAACCTACAATCAAGTAAATTGGAGTTTTCTTGATTAT